GATCAAGCCCTGCATCAGGCTTCCTGCTCAGTGGGGAGCCTCCTTCTCCCTCTCCCTCTGCCACTCCCCCTGCTTCTGCTTGCTCTCTCTCTCAAATAAATAAAATATTTTTTAAAAAGAAGACTAGATGCCAAAATTCTAAATAAATAAAAACTGATATATGTACAAAAATAGTATTAAATACAATGAAAGGATAGAATGTAACTGTAAAAATGAAAATGAAAAGGTAAAAAAGAAAAAAAAAGGAATATAAATAGACAGGTTTTATTTATTTATTTTATAAATTATTATTTTATAAATAAACAGAACAGAGCAATGCACTATATCCCAAGTGTATTTTGGTCAGTTTGTTAGAAGAATCTACATCTCAAAAGTGTAAAGAAAGAAAAGCTTATATATATATTTATACACACACACACACACACACACATATATACACAAAAATAAAATTAAATACATTGAAATCATAGAGTGTTACTGTAAAGATGAAAATTTAAAAAGACTTTAAGAAAACAAAAATTAAAAAAAGAAGAAAAAGAGGGGTGCCTGGGTGGCTCAGTCATTAGGCATTTGCCTTCGACTCAGGTGATGATCTCAGGGTCCTGGGATCGAACCCCACATCGAGCCCCACATCGGGCTCCCTGCTCCTCAGGAAGCCTGCTTCTTCCTCTCCCACTCCCCCTGCTTGTGTTCCCTCTCTCGCTGTGTCTCTCTCTGTCAAAGAAGTAAATGAAATCTATTAAAAAAAAAAAAGAAAAAGAGAAACAATGTAATCAAACAGGTGAGGAGAACAGAGCCATAGACTAGATTCTGGATGTATTTAGGTCTCTCAGAAGAAACTGAATCCCAAAATTATTAAAAAAAAAAATTAAATATATATATATAATTTATATAATATATATGTACAAAAATAAAATTAAATACAACAAAAGGATGGAACGTAACTGTAAAAATGAACATTAAAAAAGACTTTTAAAAAGAGTTGATAAAATAAGAAATTGATTGAAAAAGGAAAGAGAAAAAAAATTAAGATTGAAAGACTAAAGAATCATGGGGGGAAAAACACGAATTCTATATACTATATTCCTGGAGTGCTAGAGTTTTGTTGTTCTCAGTGATTGGTAAACTTGGTCTTGGCTCATTTTTCTTACTGATCTTCTGGGGGAGGGGCTTATTGCTTTGATTCTCAAGTGTGTTTGCATCAGGTGGAATTTCACTGCCCTTGCCAGGGGGCCAGGCAAAGTAAGTCTCTGGATTGCTCTATGTGGCTTTTGTTTCCTGAAGGCTTTTCCATTTCGCTTTTGAGGATGAGAATGAATATGGCACCCTTCCAATCTCCAGTCCCATCTCTGCGAGTTCAGGGCCCCACTCCTTAGTGCAACCTCAGGGAAAAGCAGTCAGTCACTCCTGTCTCTCTGTTCTTCATCCACTCTCTGTGCTGACCCAGCCTGTTACCAAGTGTTTCTTTCTCAGGAACATGACCCTGTTTTGAGTCTCCAAATCCTGCAGATTCCTGCAGCACACACCCGCAGTGCTCTTCCCCAGGAGAGGAAGGGGAATCTCCCCATTTCTGCCACTTCTTGGGCCCTTGCTTATTGATCAGTCACCCAATGGTGTCATGGTTGGGGGTTTATAGCAATTCCAAGCTGAGAGCCCACTCTTGGTCTAGCTGATTACAACCAGCTTCCCACTTCCAATACCTGGGAACTCTGCCACACTCAGGCAACCCTGGTCTTCCTGTGACCCCTCTGATCCTGAGACCACACTCCCACCTAGGATTCTGCCCCACTTCATCACCTGAGCACATTTTAGGCAAGGTCGTCCCTCACAAAATCAGACTTCTAAAAGTTCCAATTTTGCGCTTTGCTGCTATATCACTTTCTGATAGCTGGCTTATGGAGGCTCCTTCCCCGCATGGTTTATCTTCCCATATATCACCTTGGTTTCACTTCTCCACATCTCCTGTCTTGCAGAGAGTGATTGCTTTTCTATTTGTAGAGTTGTAACTATTCTCTTCTTAGACCTCTGTTTGAGTTTGCAAGTGTTCGGAATGATTTGCAGCTGTCTAGTTGAATTCTTGGGACCAGATGAAACTTAGGTCTCCTACTGTGCTGTCCTGGACTCTTTCTTAATCTTTAAACTTCTATGGTATCTTTATGTCATGTAGACATTTTCTTTTCTTAAATGAACTTGAGCTATTTAGTGGAGAAGATAGCAGGTGATCCTCTGACCTTGACTAGCGTTTTCGAGTTATCTGGGATTGACAGTGGAATTTTTCCTGGTACCAATTCTAGTGATGGGATGGTTTCCCCCATACCAACAAGCAATTCTTATATACCAACAGGGTATTGTAATTCTGGTACTATTTACCTAGAGATCTCACAGGTTATGGGCTCCATCCTAAAAGAGTGCACCCCACCCTTACTTCAAATGCCAGTACCAAACCCTTTTGGTACCTGTGTTTCTGACCTACCAGCTACAGTTTGGAAGTTCCCACAACCACCTCCTTGGACTTCAGATGCCAGTCTAAAAAAACAACCTGGACTTCTGACTGGCTGTCTGTAAATCAGAGATTCTTCTAACCCCTCTGGGTTTGATTTATTTGCCAGAGTGGCTCAGAGAACTCAGGGAAACATTTTATTTATTATATCACCAGTTTATTATTAGAGGACATAACTCAGAAACTGCTAGATAGAAGAGATGTATAGCGCAAAGTATGGGGAAAGGGCTCAGAGCCTCTAGGCCCTCTCCAGGCTTCCACTCTCCTGGTAGCTCCGTAAATTCACCAACCTCAAAACTCTCCAAGCCCCACATGTGTAATTACATAGGCATGATTAATTAAATCATTGGCCATTGGTGAATGAGTTATCCTCCAGCCCCTCTTCCCTCTGGGAGGTCTGGGGATGGGACAAAAGTTCTGACCCTCTGAACACTTGGTTGACAACACTTGACAACCAACCCACACCCTTAGGTACTTCACAAAAGTCACCTCATTAACTTAACAAAAGACACCTTTTCACTCTCAGCACTTAGGAAATTCCAAGAGTTTGGGACCTGTGAGCCAGGAGCTGTGGAAGAAGACTAAATATATATGAGAAATATATTTTGGTTATCTGAATAATCATACATATAGATTTCTTATAAATTGCAATCTCATACTTACCCTTTCTTTTAGTGAAACTACAGAGCCTGTTGGGTTGACATAAACTCTTGGAAATCAGGAAGCCTGGGACCCTTCTCCCTGGACCTTGAGCCTAATTTGTAATATACGTGGACTGCCATCTGGCTAGGCTCTTCCTTTTAGGCTTTCTCTGTATGAGTACAGGCCCTATTCAGAGTCAGTTGGCCTCTCAGTTTTCTGCCCAGAGGCTTCCTTTACAAAACTTTAAGCCTTCTGGAAGTATGGTATTTCAACCAGCATTATATTATGCATGTGTATTTAATTCATAGTTTTAAAAGTTTACTGCATACCCACTACCTGCATAGGTTTTGGCTAGCTGCTACATAGGACACATAAAAGAAGTGTAAAATAGATGAGACAGGGTTTTTTTAAGCTTACAGTAAAAAGGAGGATGTTTGTTCAAATATTAGAAGTAGGGACGCCTGGGTGGCTCAGTGGGTTAAGCCTCTGCCTTCAGCCCAGGTCATGATCTCAGGGTTCTGGGATCGAGCCCTGCATCGGGCTCTCTGATCAGCAGGGAGCCTGCCCCCCCTCACCGCTTGCCGCTCTGCCTACTTGGGATCTCTGTCTGTCAAATAAATAAAATCTTTAAAAAAATATATTAGAAGTAAATGAAAGGCTGAATGTCCCAAGCAAGTCATTGGCTAAGTTACAGTGGGGAAGAGTGAACAGAGGAGGTGCGATCAAAGAGAAAGGTTGCCACCCAGCTGGAAGGAATCCAGAAACTGGAATTGCATTTGTTCTAATTCTTCAAGGGTGAATATGATTGGTAGGAAGAACTGAGTCTCTATGTGGATTTCAGGCAAAGGACATAAGTTGTTAAAAGGTAAACTGAGGCATATTTAAAATTTTAAGAGTTTATTTGAGCAAAAATTTATTCTAGTTGGGCAGCGACAAGCTAGAAGTGGTTAGGAAATCTGCTGAGAGGAACCAGGGGATAAGCTTATATAGAGAAAGTGCAGAAGTGAAGAAAGGAAATTATTTGATTGGCTAAAGCTTAAAGCCTAGTTGGCTTTTTGTGGTTGGTATCCTTAGCATTTTGATTTTATGAATGGCCTATTTTTTTATTTCTTAATTCTTCTGCCCAGGTGTTCCTTGTAGCCTTTTCTACCTACAATAAATATGATTTAAAAATTTTATTTCATGAATAGTGACAAATCATATTACTTATCAGGTCTTAATTTTTGTTTTGTTTTAAAACCAGTGCATTATTATTTAAGATTTCTTTCTCTTGGTCATTTGTCTACTTAACAACCTTCAGATCATTTCTGATAGTAAAATATTTCTATAAGACTGTTAACAGGGTTCTAGTTCTTTTCCTTTGCCTACCCTGCCCTACTAATTAGAAGTGTTATGGTAAGTAATTAATCAAAAATTTCAGAATTGGGAAGGGTAGTGGATAGGAGTGAGATTAGCTAAATTGTTTAAAGTCCTTTATTCGTTTTTTTTTTAAATTAAACTTATGATGTTTTTAGGTATTCTGCTAACCATATTATCTTAGTAAAAGGCCACCTTGTTAATTTTTATATATTGAACATATTTGTCTTTAAGTTATTTATAGACTTTCAGAAACAATGTGTTAATGTTAAAATCTTATAATTTCTGTAGCTGTATTCTATATGTGCCACATATTTATATATGTTCTATGTGAGAGAATTATATATGCAAAAATATATAGACATACATTCTTATATGTTGCTGATGTTTAGGGTGATAATTGATGCTCTTCAGTATGATGATGGATTAATATGTAGGCCTGTGTGTGACAACTGAAGAAAAACCAAGGTCTGTATGAACATAAATGATACATTTTTTACAGGTCCTGAGTTGTGTCCGCACAGAATGGGATCTACTGGATGTTTGCTTTGGCACCAAACAGCCTTATCAGGTGTTGACAGTGGAGAACTCCATCAGTGTAGACAAAGAGCCCATGGCTGACAGCTGCATCTATGAATGCGTTCGGAACAAAATCCAATGTATATCAGTAACTAGAATACCACTAAGATCAAAGGCCATTAGCTGCTGCAGGAATATTACTGAAGACAAACTAATTCTGGGCTGTGAAGATTCTTCAGTAATTCTGTATGAAACTCACCGTAGAGTAACTCTCTTAGCCCAGGCTGAACTTTTGCCTTCATTAATAAGTTGCCACCCAAGTGGTGCCATTCTACTAGTTGGCAGCAACCAAGGGGAACTACAGATTTTTGATATGGCTTTATCCCCTATTAACATCCAGCTCTTGGCTGAAGACCGCTCACCCAGGGAGACTCTGCAGTTCAATAAATTCTTTGACATTTCCAGCAGTCTTGTTCAAATGCAGTGGATAGCTCCTCAGGTGGTTTCTCAGAAGCCAGAACGTGGGGACATTTATGATCTCCTCTTCCTCAGGTTTGACAGAGGACCTTTGGGTGCACTTTTGTTTAAACTTGGTAAGTCAAGAAAGATGGTGAGTAAGTAAATTAAAATGTTCATGATGGTGACATTATGATTAAGAGAATAAAACCGTTCTAGAAATGGAGGTTTTCTATGTTATTCCATAAATAAGCTTGGCTTTCAAACATTTCATATAGTTCCTTTTTTTCTTTTTTCAAGTAATCTCTATGCCTGAACTCACAACCTTGAGATCAACTCATGTGCTCTACCAACTGAGCCAGCCAGGTGCCCACATATAGTTTCTTTAAGAAAGCTTTGTGGATGATTTTCTAAACGTTAAGGAACATTAGTGAACAATTTGGAAACTGCATTAATTGTCCATTGTGATGCACAAAAAGCTTAAACTCCCACATTTTATATCCAAAATAAATACATATGTGAATATTTTAAAAGTACTTACTATGCCTGTTAAAAAGTTCTGTTTTGGGGCACCTGGCTGGTTCATTTGGTTAAGCGGCTGCCTTTGGTTTGGGTCATGATCCCAGGTCCTGGGAACGAGCCCCACATCAGGCTCCCTGCTCAGCGGGAAGTCTGCTTCTCTCTCTCCACTACTTGTACTCTCTTGTGTCAAATAAATAAATACATACATACATACATACATACATACATACATAAATTTTTTAAAGTTCTGCGTTGTAGGAATAAAATGTTTTTTTCTATTTTCTATTATTTTAGATAATAGGTATCCATTGCTTCCCAGACTAGAATGTGTAAGACAGATGTTTTAAACAAAGAGAAATTGGGGCACCTGGGTGACTGAGCCGGCTAAGCAGCTGCCTTTGTTTGGCTCAGGTCATGATCCTGGAGTCCTGGGATCGAGTTCCACATTGGGCTCCCAGTTCCACAGGGAGTCTGCTTCTCTCTCTGACCTTCCCCCCTTTCATGCTCTCTCTCTCACTCTCTCTCTCTCAAATAAATAAATAAAATCTTTAAAAAAAAAAAAAAGGATGTGAATGTTTGGAGAATTTGGTTAGAGAGTTGTATAACTTTTTTTTTGTTTCCTTTAGATAAAAATATTGGCAAAGATTTTTCAGTATTATGAAAATCATGTATTAATGTTGCCCATTTCAACCGGGAAACATTTTTTTACTATATTAAATATTTTTAAGTAATCTTTACACCCAACGTAGGGCTTGAACTTACAACCTGAAGATGAAGGGTAGTATGTTCTACTGACTGAGCCAGCAGGCACCCCTCAACCAGAAAACTTTGAAATAAAATTGTGTTAGTATGATTTATTTGTCTTGCAGTTTTGCCTTACCAGCTATGCCCTATAATATTCTTTAGGTAGTTTTGTATAACTTAACATTCTTGAGAGAACCTCACTTAGGTTTAAAAACTAGATTTTAATTAATGCATATTATTGTAACTTGAAACATAGAAAAGTAAATATATTTCTAAGCCCATTACATGATTTGTTTCTGTCATACAAGTTAAGTTTTTAAAGACATTGTAGGATTTGTTAAATAGTTGTCAGTTTACTTTTTTTTTGTAATGTATCTAAACCTCTGAAATTGAACCCATGAAATAAATCTAGTTGAAAGTGACTTGATTAACCTGAAAGATATAATGAATATAATGTAAGGGCTATATTCTTTCCACATAATAAAAATGCAATTAAATATCTTTATAATGTTCATGTTGTCCAAGAAAAAAATGTTTGGAATCTCGTTTATTGTAAACTAATCCAGTTCTACTTTGCCCAGCTACATGTTTAACAGTTGTATGTCTCCATACACAACACTCATTAAAGTGGATGTTAGATGTTTTGCATGTCTGTTAAAACACACACACACACACACACACACACACACACACTCTTTTTCTCTCTCTCTCTCTGTCTCTCTAAATTACCCAGTTACCTGTCAAACAAAAGGCTGTCTGCCCACATATACCTAGCTTTTCTTCAGCCCTCCCTTGTGGGCCTACTCACAACAGCTTTGCAAAAAGCACAGCTTTCTCTTCCTATCTCTAGCACATTTGCCTTCTTACTAAAGTAAACAGGCTCTCAGTGTAGGGATTTAGAGGGCTTCCTGCTAATTGCCAGCTTGTAAACTTAATTGGACTGTCTCCCTGGGCACTGTTCCTAAATCAATTAGGCAATGAGTTGGCTGTCACCTCTTTTTCCCAAGAAGGTCTCTTGGAAGAGAATTATCCAATAGAAGTCAAGCATTCAAATGAAAAGGTGATAACTTCTGCAACTGACATTTATCATTTAATTTTATTTTCAATATGACTCTTAAGTTTTATGGGATAGGGGAAATTTTACAGGCTTACAGACTCCTTAAAAGATCTAAATATGGAGTTTCCCAGAATTTTTAAAAAATGTATTATAAGATTAATATTTATTACAGATTATTTTTTCTAGGAAGAGTTGATTCCTTCAAACAGTGGATTCCAACTAACAGATCTTTTTTTTTTTTTTTTTTTTTAAGAAAACCCTGTTTAAAGAACAGATTTTTCCTAGGTTCTGCTACTAAATACATCCAAAAATTTTAATATACTTCTTGAATTAACACAGTGCTGATTCTGGGCATCCATGTGGAATTTTCATGTATAATTCAAGTTACTGCATATATAAACAGGTAGTTGCATGTGCAGTTTCTCCACTAGGGAGCATTTACGAGATTTTTTCATAAGCTTGTTATGCAAGCCTTTGGAAAATTTGACATGCAAGGTGTAGCTTACAATTTAAGAAGCTGACATAGATCATAGTTTAAAATAGAATGCTGTCATATGTAAACGTGGTAGTGGCTGGTGCCAATATGCTAAGATTTTTGGAGTTTGACTTTTAGAATAGGTCAGTGTAATGTTGAAGGAAAACTTTTGTTCCAAGGCTAGGACTTCCATTCTAAATCCTTATAATCATCACACAAATGTTTCGGGTGAATAAAAGGCCACCACTACTGTTAGAAGAATTTGAAGAGCATGTCTTCTTCAGGAGAGAGCTAGAAGTATCATCCTCCTGCATGGAAGCCAAGAGGTACTGTTTTATGTAAAGCAAAATGTAATCAGATTTCTTTGCTTGGCAATCATTGTCCCATATTTCCACATATGTAGACTGAAATTAATTTTCAAAAGAGGAGTCCCTAATTATATTACAGAGATATTAAAGCTTTTGCATTCTCATCAGTACCTTTTCAACTTTCACTGCTCTCTTTAAACTCATATGATCAGCTCCTTGCCCTCTCAACAGAGAGTCTTACCTTTTAGTTGGCATTTCACTAAGTTTATCTGCTCCTCACCACCTACCCACTCCCCTAATCAACAATTTACCTTGAACATAAATCTTATTATCGTGGATATAAATCTTTCCTTCTCAATTCAGTGTAAGAGGAGCCCTTCCTCTTACCTAAGACTAGTTCCACCGCTAGTTCCAGTCTGAATCCCACTACATTCCTATGGATCCCTTTATGTTGTCATCCTCCCCACTTCACCTGTGAATCTTGTTACACCAGTAGATATAGGCCCAGCCCACATCATAAAACAAATATCTCTTCCTTAAAATTGTTTCTCCTGTTACTAATCAAATGTTCTTTCTTCTTTTCATAGTCAGACTCACTGAAATAATAATGAACACTGACTTTCTCTGCTTCTTCACTTCCCATTCATTCCTCACAGTACAAATTTTGACCTGAATCTTTAGTGTCCTGGAACTGCTCTTGGAAAGGTCACGAGAGACTTCCTACTTGATACATATATACATATATGTATGTATGTATATATGTATCAAGTAGGATATATTTTTTCTTTTTTTTTTTTTTTAGTGTTACTTGATGACTTTTCAGCATTTGATGCTTGCTGACCACTTTTACTGTCACAGAATTCTCATCATACTGTCCTCTGTGATCTGAGATACACCTTTCATCACTTTTTCATACTCTTCTTCTGGATACTCATGAATATGTTGAGGCTCCCTAAGGTTCCATTTTTAGCTCTCCTCCCATTTTATACAGAGTGAGAGTTTCTAATTTTCTTCCCCCTAAACCTGTTTCTTCTCTTATATTCTTATATTCTTTTGGTGGATGGTACAGTTACTCAGATACAATCCCAAGTCAGAAATCATCCTCGAATCCTTCCTCACCCCTAATGCCATATTCAGTCAGTGGCCAAGTCCCATCAGTTCTACCTTCTAAATACTCTCAGAAACATCTCTTTTCAGCCTTACTGTCATGACCTTGATCTCCACCTTCCCTGTTTTCAAGCAGTGATCAAATTAGTAGCTTTCTGTAATATTCTGCCTTCCAATCTTCTCATCCTGCCCCACAGTTAATCCCCTGAACTGCCACCAGAGTGATCTAACTGCAGATTTGGTCATGGCCTGAAATCCTTCAGTGGTTGATAAACCTTTGTTTGCCTCTCAGGCTTCATTTCCCCAGCTGTTTTTGCAGGAGTGTAGCTCCCCATCCACGGCATGTGCTCTCACACCCTCTCTTTCCCATGGTGGTTTCAATAGTATCCTATCCACCTGGAGTGCCCCTCTAGTGCTCTAACTAGAGCCTGCAAAGTTGGGAAAAGGTTAAATCTTCTAGTGATTATATCAAGCAAGAAATAATTAAAACTAACCTCTTCCTTCTCATAGGATTTTGAAAATCAAAGTCAAAATATATGTGTGCGTGTGTGTGTGTGTGTGTGTTACTCTGTCTAAAAAACAAGTAGTATGATTTTTCTCAATATTTTTGTGAGAAGTATGTTTTCTTCAAGAGAGTTATTTTTAATGAGCTATTGAAATATTACGATTTACCCAAGTGGTAATTGGGGGTAATTTATTGCTGGAAAGAATGTCAGATAATTTATTAGATGCCTATTCATCTTAAAATTGGATCTCATATTATTTGAAATGGACTGTTATTCCAAATAGCATTCTGCTTTCTTTAAACTAGAATGATGATGGGTTTTTAAATCAAGTTTATTGGGATATAATTTATATAAAATAAAATGTACCCATGCCAGATGTACAGCTTAATGCGTTTTAACCAATGTATATATCCTCATG